CGCTGCTCTTCGAAGATTTCAGAAACGCTTAGTTATAACGGACGCAAAAACCAAAACACCGATCTGCCGCTTGATATTTGTTTACTGTTACACCAACATATAAAAGGAATAAGCGAACTAAGGTCTGAAAACAAATATTACAATAATAAATCATTGTATTACTTCTGACGATGTTTCACTCTTCTTTCTGAACAGCGACCGATGAGACGATGACTGTCGTATTGATGCCTCCGAGAAAATTGGGGAAGTTGGTTTGAGCAAACAACCAAGAATTGATCGTTCAATCTTCAACTCCATTGACACTCCCCGGCAAAAAAGGAATCCAACCCTTTTTTCCTTCACGACCAATGCACGTTGACTTGGATGCCATTGCGAGAACCTGGGTCACACGGACAGAGCTGAAGTGGAAAACAAACAGAAAAGCCAACACACCACAAACATACCCACAGCACAATCTCACACATCAGTGACGACCTGCGCCTCCAGACAGAGACCTCCTCTTGACATCTTGCAACACAATCGCCACTTACTAGAATGACTCTTGCAGAATGCAAAGTGACCATGGCAGCACCTCACGATACTCTACGCACATCCTCTTATCTACTCACTACCAATTACCACTGAAATCGCTTGTCACTCATTCTGCCTCAGTTCTAATAGCGGTGACGCATGCGAGCCTCAGTCGTTTACACTCTTTCTCCCCGGCGTGTCTGACCGCAGCTAACAATTATCTCCGTGTGCATTTCATTCTCAGCCTAGCCTCCCCGGCGTATACGACCCATCTGCTGTCCTTAACATCAATCAATTCATTCATGGATGTAGAAGACTCGAAGCAACTTCAGAAGTAATCACGACGAAAAGTTTAACAAAATTACGCAATAACAACAGGACACGAAAACAACAAGTAAACACAATGAATCCAAAATACACCAATTGCTATGACACACCACACGTATATACAAATAGTACAAACAACCTCGCCGATCATGTCTTGGTGGAATTCCTTTGAAGAATTGCAGGACTTACACCAGTACGCATACAAGCCTTCTCAGGTTGACGATTGTAATTTGTTGAATGTACGGACACAAACAAGATTAACCAACAATTACATCAATTGGAACTCACACAATTATTTAACACAAACATATGTACAATCGACACATCAAATGTTGTGTATTCTGGCACGGCAAACTACCCTTGAAGAACTGTAGGACTTACAGCAGTACGCCTACAACTCTTCTCAGGTTGACGCCCTAGGTTGGAAAATCGTCGCAGAGTTCATTTGCTAACTTCCTTCTATCAGCTATATCCTCAAATCTGAACGGCAACACGCCCATGTCAGTGTATCTTAGAATATAGATGACCAACAAACACACGACATATCTCATCAACCAAGTATAGAAACAGAGTAATTTACACCAAAGTTAATGACATTCAAATAGTAACTTGAAACTAGAAATGCCTTTATTCGTGCAAGTCAATTTAACAATTACTCTCTCGTTTACACTTGGCTTATCCTCACTAAACTGACCATTGATATTCGTCCTTTCAAACGAACTGATACTATCATAGTCATTGGACAAGATACTTGAGTTGATGGGCGTCTTTTTCATTGTGGATGACAGCACCAACGACGACTGATTGATATCAGTTGATGAAGTTAGCGGTGGATCAAAAGCTGTTGTTGCTCGACTTTCAGAAATTTGTCCACCTGCAAGACCACCACCACTGCTGTCTTTTACTATCAGCTCAGGTTTAGCACTAGCATCTGATGATAGGTGGGCTACATGCTGATCACTCACATTGACGGTCTCACAAATATCCATAACTTCTGCAACTGCATTTATTTCTACTTCACGTTCAAGTTGTACAGAAACTTTGTTCAACTTAACAGTAGTAGGCATATCCCTCATCTCATCATGATCAACCAAAGACAACTTTGAAGTATCATGATCATTATCACGAATATTCACTTTACCGTCAACTTCATCATTTTCAAACTCTTTAATAACAGAAGTAGACAATTTTGGTTCCTCCTCACAAATCATTAAAGGTTTTATATCTTCACTCTGACTAGTTATACTTTGTAAACTTGTGGAGTCAGAACTGCACTCTGAAGCAGTAACTCTATTCTGTGACACTCTATTCAACAACGGCTTACCAGTTGCAACTACAGACTTCTTCACAACACCGTTATCGTCACACAATTCGGAGTCAGACCTGGAGTTTACATTTAGCTCATCACTGAAATTGCTCACTGGTTCACAGCTCACTTCTGTATGCACCTCTTGCAAACGTGTAAAACAAAACCGTGCTTGTCTTGCATCTTGTAACTTATCTGTTGAGGATGTACTACGATACCTGTTACACTCACTAGGTCTATATGCATTACAGGACATCATGGAGCCTTCTCGATATCCACCTCTCTGAGGCCTACTCGTCATCAATGAGTGCGTTTTACCCTCAGACTGCTCTATTCTAGTGGTGAGATTCAATATACTGGCAAACTTGCTCATCGATTGATTGACACTAGTATTTACCAGTTTCAGGATATCATCAAACTTTGGCTCGATACCCTCATCCTCCATACGGGAGCTTATCTTCACCCACTTCCTTTGCAGTCGGGTAGGTAGACGTCTTGCTATTACTTCTAGTATAAAACTCGAGTTGAGGTCACTCATGCGATTCATCGAAATCATTCCATTCTTGTAAATTAGCAAATTATCCAAAAACTCAGTGAGTGCCTGGGAGTCATCCTGTAATTGACCACCATTACCCTTAAGAGCCTCGAATAATTTCCCTGCAATCATCGAAGGTCTTCCAAACCTTTGACGTAATATGCTCATAGCCTCATCGTAGCCCTCTTTTGGCTTCATAAACTTACAGCACTGTATAGCTCTTGCAGCATCTCCAGTGCAATATCTCATCAAATACATTAGCTTCAATTCATCATTTAATAAAAAACCACTCAACATGATCTCAAACTCCTTTACAAATTGTAAATAATCGACAGGGTTTCCATCAAAACACCGTGGTTCTAATTTAGGGAGTTTGATGTTCCTATTATCTCTGAACGGCGAAACAGTAACATCAACTATGTCATGCTTCACATCAGACACATCGTTACAATTAACAGACAAGTCAACATGACTTACTTTCCTGTTTGCATCCAAGACACTCTGTCCCTTCTTTGACCCAGGCATTGTTGAACTTGACCCAATTCCAAAAATGTTCCAGATATCGCTTGTTCAAAGAGGACTTGACCGGCACCAGGAAAGATGAACGGCGACTATCCAAACTTTCACCAACTGTTTGAATCCGCCAGATCTGTTTCTATCGTCAGAAACTGTCAATCACGTCTCATAAACCGTTAATGCCCAGCTCTCGCTACGCTCGGGCCCACGCTGTTCTTCGAAGATTTCGGAAACGCTTAGTTATAACGGACGCAAAAACCAAAACACCGATCTGCCGCTTGATATTTGTTTATTGTTACACCAACATATAAAAGGAATAAGCGAACTAAGTTTTCTGACGATGTTTCACTCTTCTTTCTGAACAGCGACCGATGAGACGATGACTGTCGTATTGATGCCTCCGCGAAAATTGGGGAAGTTGATTTTAAGCAAACAACCAAGAATTGATCGTTCAATCTTCAACTCCATTGACAAGCGCTAAAAACGAACCTAGAGACTGCGGCAGATCTGCTAACGCCATTACTGCGAACAGTTTTGGAAGAAGGAAAGGTACCTACCAACTGAAAGAAAGGCTGGCTACCTTGTCATGCTGCCAAAGAAGTGAGACTTGCACCTCTGCAAGAACTGGCGTAGAATACTGCTCGTGTCCACTCAAAGTAAAATACTAAGTTTCGTCTTCCTGGAGAGAATATAAGATGTTCTAGATATAGAACTCCGCCCACTACCCGGAACAAGCCGGATTCAGGAAAGGCGAATCATGTGCTGATCGAATTGCCACTCTATGCATCATCATCAAACAGTGCATGGAATGGAAGTCATATATCTACCTCAGTTTCATCGACTTTGAAAGGACCCTGGACCACGTTGACCGAGAATTACTTCCGGAACTGCTTCCATACAATGGAGTGCAGTACCTTAAATCTTCATCGACCTCATCCAGTAGATGTGTGACAATGCCAAATGTCAAATAATCAACAGTGGATAACCCAGAGAAGCCTTTGAGGCGAAGATAGGAATGAGACAGGGCTGAATGTTTGTTATCGCTGATGATATTACAGATTGCGGTGGGCTGGACTGAGAGACAGACTGTAAGGACAGAGATGGGGGGAAAAATCGGACCGATAAGAAGACTCTAGAAAATCTGCACTTCAATGACATTTTATTTCTAATGTTACGAAAACCCAAATACATACAGACTAAAACCAACAAATTCTGAGAACAGGCGTGAAGAGAAGACGGAGTGATGAAAATAACCAACCAACATAAACGAGCACCAATGTGGAAAATGTCAGAGAGGTCACTTCTCTCAATTATCTAGGAGACGTTGATTCAGCTATGGGCGAAAACGATGAAGATGTCAAAATCAGCGAGGATAGGAAGTCAGTAGTATCATCCGCTAGTAATTTGCTCTGGCACCCACCTTATTGAGAGCGCAATTAACTTGTTAACAGTGCTGAGAAAAGACGTTCACAAGCCCAAATAATATATGTATATTGACATTATCAAGGATATTACCTTTATCATACTAACAACTAGTGGGATGATATCCCTGATGGTTTGCATGTTTGCATGGACATGGGAAGAGCAACGGGATATCTGTACATGTTTCACTAGATTTTTCAGATAAAGACCGACTAATTTGAACTGCATATGGTTTTACTAAATCGTGAGAATCTTCACAAATAACCGCTTGATTTCCCCTCTACTAAGACGATCTTTGAAAGGCTGTGACCGTCTAGTTCTAAGTCTGCGGAAATGCAATATCCGCGTGGAAACGGACAACACTGGGATTTAATGACATGATAAATGGCCTCGGTACTTTCTAATATTTCATGTAAACAATGCTATGTCGCGAATCTACTACAAAACACGTACTTCCTAATCTTCATTACTTAGGTTTGAATACACGAGGTCAAATCTGACCTTGAGAAGTGGCGTAACTTCAAATCAGGTCATTGACCTCTGGTTTTTTTGAGTATGTAATTTTATCAACCACGTGCCCCGTAAAGGTTACTTATACAGTAAGTTATCATAACAAAACACTTTATTACGAAGTATTAGCTTGAGCGAAAGCACGAAATTATAGTATGAATAATAAGATATTTTATTATAACAGTGAGTGCAGCTAGCATTTTTTCGGGCGCATTGCAGACTTTTCGGGGTAAAATCTCAGGGTAAATCTACTTACGTGGGACATTGTCCCGAAGTCTGCCCCAAAAAGTCTGCGATTTGCTCTAAGTCTGCCCTAAAATGTGTGCAATGCTCCCGAAAAAAATGCTAGCTGGTTGCGTGACGTCTCCAACAAAATTTACTGTTCATAACCGTATCATAACTACTTAACTCGAAACTCAAGTTTTATCATGGAAATTAAAACTGGCCAGAAAAACAGTCTTGCCGCTCCTACTACGCTAAATAGATCATTTGGATAATGGTTAGACTAAAGCCTACCATTAAAATGTAACTTGATCACATTCTGTTGAGGGTCTGAGGGTGAATTCGTACTGCTGGCTTACGGGGAGGTGACAACAGTAAGACGTTTCCCTCGGACAACCATGAAGTTAGTTACACTGTCTCTGCACTCTGGGGACCTAGGAATAGAAAAGGCAGACTTCTAGAATTACACATCTCGACTTACCTTATTGTGGTCTGTAGCCGGCGGTAAAATCTTCATACGGATACAATTTCAATAACCAATTTTAATGGACTGTGTGTGACTGACCTCAAGCAGCTGTCAACTGGTCTCTGCGGTCACGCAGCACTAATGAAACTTTTGTTTTAAGTATTCCAGAAAGAAACGAACTTCCATAGTATGGGCAGTCTGGGAGTAGTAATCTTCTGCATACCTCTATAAGCATGTAGGACTTTTCTGATCATCGCCCACCTTCACCGATTTCCTTTCATCCCACTGCTAACTCTGCATCCATTAATAGCCATCAGAACCCGAAAAAACTACTGATAGCTTCTTAAAAGCATTCTGCCAACGTCATATTAGGGCATTCAACGTCAAAACTGTTTGTCCAATAAAACAAATAGCCTCGCCAGCCAGGTCTATGGCATCACAGGCCATAGATGTGTTTTGTTTTGGCGGCACTCGTAAATTACCTAAGTGTGGTTATTCACTTATCCCTGCCTTACCGACATGAGGAATCTGTATAACTTCCCTTAACGGTGTCTGGAGATCCTTCAGCTAGTTGGCGTAGACTTATTTTGACGGAGAACATTGTGGGACGAAAAAAGCTCATTAGGAAGACGGAATGTAAAAACTAATAAGCCAAATAATTTCTATGAGGATCAGTGCCTTAACCACCTCAAGATAGACGACTTGAATCCTGGAAAGAGCACTGTTAGATGCAGTTTAACTGGTATAGAGCCAAGCTAAATTTGTCTAGTCTCTAACTTGTGTGTGGGTTTGTACTTTGATAATATTATCGTCGTATCGTTGCTGGTAATCAGTGGACAGTAACTGCTTTCTCTTTTCTCTAAATTCTTATACTTGTTTTTACGTTATTGATATGTCCCTACTGCGTCAGTGGCACAGTGGTGTAGAATGCTCGCCAGCCATTCAGGTGGTCCGGGGCTCGATCCCCGGCCACCGACGCACTCCTTTACCTCGCTAAGCTAGTAATAGGACTGGCAAAGAGAGAAGGTTGGGCATAAGTCTAGCAACCCCATCCCGTAAAAGCAAGCACACCACTGCTACAGAAACTTCTCGCCTCTAGTTTGAAGCCCTGTGTTTAACTGGGGACGTAAAGGAATAAAAAAAATATGTTCCTACCTTTGTTTACGTTCACCATGTCTTGGTCAGGTGATTTAATCTCGACAGATAGATGTATTAAATTAAAAGCACTCCAATAACGTCATAGCTGACTGACAATTTACCGTCTAGTAATAATAATTGGTATTAATATTTATTATACGCCTTATTAATTAATGACTGTTAATTTATTTGAATACAGTTATATTGATGATTTCAATTGATTTAGTTATTAAAAATATTTTTTGTTATTCCATATATTCTTGATTTCCGTAGTGTTTAAATGTGTTCAATGTCGTTTAATCGAGTTTTAATCTTATTTTTCGAATACGTTAAAGTTTAAAACTAGCTAGCTGTGGCTCACTGGTCTGGGTACTAGATTCCCGATCAGTGGGTCTCAGAGTCGAAGCCCGCCCCACCTATTGAGGTTTGGGCAAATAGGTAGCATTACTAGCCCTCACATACATACAATAAGTGTGTCTCATTATCTCAACTGCATGGAATTGCAAGTGATGGTTGAATAACCTTTCACGTTTTGCCATTTCAGCGCACGGATGGTTTAATTGCGAAGCTTTCATTATCTTTCTAGATAATGTTTCCATCGCTGAAGAAAGCTTCAGAACTAAACTGTCCAGCTCAGAAAACACATCTACATCAATAACATCCACTGGATCCGTAAGTCTTCGTGATAGCTAGAGGTTGTGTTTGACGATTACATCTAAACCACATTAGTAGATGAACGTTTTCTGTGTGCAATTTATTTACCTGTCTAACCCCAAGTTACCTTACTCGAATGGTGTTTTCACTAAACCCCAGCAGTATTACAATGACTGGAAAGTTATGGTCTTCTCGAGCGTTTTAAATTTGTTGATTATGCATCACAGACTCAGAGCAAGATAACAAAAGTACTGACCCCTTTCCATTTCAAACTGCGTACAGAATAAAGCGGGTTTATACACTCTCTCTGCAATCCTCCATTATATAAATCTTACCAAAGGTGATAACTTTTGTGAAGGCAACTTAAAAGCGCATATCCTTATTTGGTGAAATTGTTTCCTGTCATTATTGTTAATAAAGGGGATTATATATAAGTGGTATTATTAAAGGTATTGTGATAAAGTATTTATCCTAGAGTTTGATTTAGATGTTATTTGTTTGTTGTTATTTGTTAGTGGAGTCAGTGGTACGTGTTGTCTCATTACACTTGAAAATTAACTGGATATTTATGTATCCCACTAAGTTCTCTGGAGTCTTTTAGCATTTACGTTAATGTTTACTGGGTTTGAGAGAGTGGGGGGCGAGTGAAGTGCAACTACCTGTGCGTCGGTGGCACAGTGGTCAGGACTCTCGCCGACCATGCACATGGTCCGAGGTTCGACCCCCCGCCGACGCACACCCGATATCTATGGTTGGCCTGCAAAATTTGGGCTACCGATATCCATGCTGAAAATTCCATACTTGTACCAAAAATGCAGTGTGGAATCAAGCTGTTATCAAAAATCAAAAATCTAAAAAAATCTAGTACCAAATGCTGAGTTTCAGTTACTTCTGACCCTCAAAGTTCACGGAAATAAAGTCTGACCTAAGTCCCTGTAAGAACAGTCAATCTTATTATATAGAGAAATGTTAGCAATTTCGGGAAATTAATCCAACAAATAATTAATTTTATTGATTGCTTAAGTTTGGGCTTCAAGATTGTCCAGCTGCAGTATAATAAACACTTCTATCTCGGCCTGTTGGTTTAAATTTCCAGTTTTTTCTCGTTGAATCCTGAACATCCTCTCTATGCTCAACTCTCTCCCTGCATCTCATCAGGCAGGACTAGAAGCAACTATGGGAGACTTTAATGCGCGGGCGACTAAGTATAGAGACTAACAATTACCACATTAGGCACACATATTATCTGATGAAAAAACTATAAGACATGACACTAATCACTAACTAAGTAAAAAGCCCTTTTTATTCTTTCTCTCTTTCTTACATTATTATATTCTTGTTAATATTTCCACTTTAATTTTATATTTCTATTCTTATTGAACAATATTATCAATGGAAACGCCCTGTTTAATTATATCCCCTTGCATTGTGTAAAGAGAAAGTTAGAAGTAATATTGTATTATATGATGAGAATTCCATATCTGTATGAAAAGTATCGTTTGCAGTAAAACCATTATTATTATTGCGTACAGTTAAGTTTCCTTGACAAAGTTGAATAATGCGATAAGAACACCTTTCTCAGGATAATATGGATTCATTTTATCTTTTAGGATTTTCATCAGCTGCGTGCCACCTGAATAATAAACTGTAACCTGAAACAAATAGCATCCCTACAAACTAACCCTTGGAAATTAATCTGATGCTCACTAGTGACTGTTGGCTACAGGACGAAGTTGTCTGGAGTTCCAAGGTCCATCCAGTCAGGAGTGAGGATGAAGTTCCCGCCGATGACATTGGTTGATGGTCGTGATTAATGCATCACGAATTGGTAGAAGTTAGAATTCATGGGCTGGCCGCCATTGAATCGGGTCCCAGTGGCTGAATGGTATACAAGCTAGCTTGCCTTGTTATCGGAAGGTCCTGTTTTCGAACGCCACTGTGGTGGGTGCGTACTTCCGATAATTCCCAAAAAACTAGGATGAAACAGCTGTCCAGTACTCCAATGCTGGTTTTCAATGGTTATCTAACTGATATCAATTCGTGGTCTAACCTGAAACTACAAAAGTAATAAATGCAAAGCAATTTTTTAACAACAAAAGACAAGGATCAGGCAACAGATCATCTATATGCTAACTGTATCCGCCTACGCAAAGCCTTTGTTCTCATTTTTCTCACGACCAATATTGGGGACATAAAAATTGACTTACTTACTTTACTTTACTTCGGCTATCTCCTACGGGAGGATGAGCCGGCTTCATGAACGTCTCGAATCATCGCTGCCCAGGCGCGGCAATTTGTAAGAGAGTTCATGAAGTTTCATGGGAATTTGGTACGAGTGATGTCCCCAGAATCGCTCGGCCTTTTGTTTGAGAGTGCAGCTCTAGCCTTTACACAACCAAGTGTGACCTACAAGGCAGTAGGAGTGGAGTAAGGAGTCCACTATCCATTGGCAGCCGGTGACCGGAGTTCGGTTCATACGCCTTTTTGAATGGGGCCAGACATCCAGGACATCCAACAAGCCCTTTGTCCATACGTCTGCCGGTGAGCTCCAGTGAGCTTCATACGCCAGTCGTTGGAGGTTTGGAATCAGGGTTTAGCCATCTCCCCTAG